TGGTAACTGTTAGTCCATTCTTGGGTTCTGTGAGTCTGCTGCTGTTTTGTTCCTTCAGTTTTTTCTTTGTTCTTATAGTCCACAGATGAGTGAAATCATTTGGTACTTGTCTTTCTCCACCTGTCTTTTGGATTTTTGGTTCTGGATAAACACAAGGTTCCTCAGACCATGACAGCCTTAAGTGATGGTTTCTTCTCTCAGCTCTTAGAGCAATTATTGGGTGTACTGTTTATTTGGAGACTTAACTCTTCCATGTTTACAAACTCTTTTTTCCAACTGGTTCTTTATCTCCCTGAGACTGCATTAGGTAGATACCCAAGTATTTATTGATATAATTTTGCCCTATTGATTAACTGAATGGATTTAGCTACTTTGTTATACAGGACTTTCATTACAAATTGAAATAAGCTCAATGTTTAGTAATTCTGTAGAAATGTTGTAAGTATTGACTAGTGTTGATTGATCATGTTTAATTTACAGAGCTCTGCTGCTGTAAATTTCTTGAGAGTAGATGACAGAGGAGAAGGCATTAGCTGAAGAGCAGGAGACCTGGATTCTGGAGTGGGCTGGCTGAATCTGGTTTCACAAAGCAGGTACTGTGAGCCTCTCATGACCTCCCTTAGGACACGTGCTGGGGTCCTCACTGAGCCTCGTTTGCTGGGTTTGAGGGGTTTTTTCACTCTCTGTTTGTACACCAAATATATTTAATTTTTGTTATCTTTCAGGTTGAGACCTTTGGAAAATATCTTGGAGTTATTTTCAATGGAGAAGACAATGGTCTGCAATTTGGAGATTTGCTTTTTAAAATGTTTTAATAATTAAGAGGCACAAGTAGATTCAACACAGTGAATATATATAGTTCCCGCTGCTCAGGTATTCAGAGTACAGCCCTGAGGAGAGAGGTCTGGGGAGGGAAAGTGAAGTGGCATAGCCCTCAAATAGAAACTAAGTGACTAGGAAGAAAGTAGCTTAATTTAGGTAGCAGCATAGTCAATGTGATGTTGCAGTTAAATAAAATGGAGGATAATACATTCAGTGCTCAAAGGCAAGAATGTACCAGTGGGTGCCTTTCAGTCTTAAGAGCAAGAATTCTGTGCAGAATGCCTAATTTCCAGGTTGCAGTGGTCTCCATTAGACCCACTGCTTCCATCTGTCCCCTCGTCTTACAGGCATGGACGAGGTGTCCTCCAGCCTGGATTCCATTGCATCATGAGCAAGGATTTTCCTTTAAAATCTTTGCCTGCTTTAGCTGCTAATGATTGTAGACAAAGACCAGTGGGGAAAGAAAAGCCTTCGAGGTAAAGAGATTTAGTCAGGCTATTCTTTTTTGGAGAGAGGAAATGCATTATTGCCTTTGAAAAAGACACAGATTTAAAGTTAAAGGAAAAAAAAAAAAAACAGAAGAAAACAAAATTAACTAAGTTTTTATTTTAATGGTTATCATTGTTAACAAACTATTTGTGAATACCCCCAAAGACAAATTTGTGTGTAGGTTCAAAAGGATATACAATATTTTGTAAATAGGATCAAATGATACATTCAGTTATATAATCTGCTTTTCTCTTGTCAGTATTTCATGGCTTTCTGTAAGTACAGATGTGTATATATCTTTATTTTTCTGACTCTGGAAAATTCTATTTTATGTAGCAGAACTTCCTTAAATAGTCATCGCTTTGTAGCCATTTAGTTTACAATCCATTTTTCACTATTATAAACTAAATGGCAATTTTTTTTGCATATTTTTCCCGAATAACAACTCTGAATATTCTTTTCAAGTATTTTTTAAATTGGTTACAGATTTGTGAGTAGAGACACTTGTTAGCAATGGTAGAAGTGTTTTCAAGTATTTTTTAAATTGGTTACAGATTTGTGAGCAGAGACACTTGTTAGCAATGGTATAAGTGTTTTTGTCCTGAGAAGTCTTTTCCTTTGTCTATCCAATCCACTGAATTACCATGTGTACCTTTAGGATGTGGAAGACAGGTGCCTAACTCTGCTCCTCTCTTCTCTTCAGCACTTTGTGCAGAGAAGTTTCTCAAAGCAAAGTTGTGAGGTTAAGATGGTGGGGGATTTTAGGTTTTAGGTCCTGTCTTCTCTACACTGACTTTACTGTTTTTCACCTGATTCCTTGCCCCGGGGTTTCCTCTGAGAGCCCCATGGGCTCCTGGCTGGGCTCCACCAGGAGTGGGTTTTGTTCTCTCCTGGCTCCTTTTATCTAGCCCCTTGGGGTTTCCTGAGTGAAGGCGCTGCCCTGTGCTATACCATCCTTTAGTGCCTGGGCGGGTGACCTTCTGGCTCACTGGACAGATTAACTAGTGCTGTGCTATTGGAGAAAGCAACATTTTATAGTGTGAATATTCAAAATTTCACTTATCAGAGACAAATGAAATTTTAAGACCTTTTTCACAAGTGAGTCCAGCTGGGAATTCCAGGCAATCTGTTAGGCAGTGAGGATGTTATTACCAAGCAAAAGTGGCCTCTGCATCCTCAGGCCACACTGGTGATGGAGGTGACTGCTTTGACTAGCCTCTTCGCAGCCCAGTACCATGAAGAGCTATTCAGATATTCTGGGACTGACCTCATTTTCAAAAAGACAGCCCCAGTCCTTGGGGCTGATGCTAAAAGGGATAAAAATGGAGCTGGGGGTATAGGCAGAAGATAGAGATCTTTATATCATAGTTCTTGGCGTTTATCATAGTGACCTTTCAACGTTCATTAAAAGTTATCATCATATACTGTGCCAAGGTAAGTCTCTATGAAATGCAGAAGGATAATAACTAAGCAACAGGAAGAAGTTTCTACGAGATTTGTAAATTCATGTAGTCACTTCTCAGGCTCGAGTGTCTTGGAGTTAAGGAGTACTACTGGGAAGCAACATTGCAGGTATTGTTAACCATCAGTGCACCTGCTGGGCAAAGGGAAAAACAGAAATCTACAGGAAAGAGAAATCAAAGCACCCACTTTATTGGACATGTGTTGCAAGGATGGGCGCAGCAATTAGGAATAAAATGGACATGGCGTTGGACATTTCAACACATGGATTGGCGATGGCTGGCTCTTTTGGCACCTTGGGGAAAAAGGCCTGGAAGCTGGTCTCCTGGGTATTCCTGGAGTAACAGCAAAGTGGCTCCCCCAAAATCACGGTTATTTGCTTCTACAGTCCTTGTGTCCTGGATGCAGCTGCTGCATGATGGCAGGAATGGACGAGCTTTGGACTTAATCTGCATGGGACTTTGAACCTAGCTAAATCCTCTGGCTTGAGAATTGTTGTGTTGCTGTTGTCAAGAAAAAAATGCTTAAAGAGAGGCCTGACTGTCTAATGTTTGGTAAAAGATTGGTGAGCAATCTAGCAGGGTTGTTAGGAATGAGTAAACAAGTATAGAAACATATTTTGTGCTTAGTGAGAGACTGTGCTGTAAAGTACATTTACTTAATCTGCATAGGCTGAATCCTCTGGCTTGAGGATTATCAAGATTTTATTGCTGTTGCTATTGTATGTTATTAGATTGCAGAAGAAGGGGAACAAGTAAATTGTAAGGTGAGATTTCTGGAGGGGTGGCCTGTGGGTAAAATTATAACATTTCCAGAATATCTCCCCTGGCTTTAGGACATCTGCATATCAATAGGCATTCAGAGGTGGAAAGAAGTATGGCTTAAGTACATTTGCATTATTCCTCAGGGGTGGAGAGAAGTTCATCTCCATATCAATGGGTGATTACCTGGGTAACAGAGGGTATGTCTGAACCTGAGAGTTTACTGGCTTGCTTGCTTGCTGGCTTCTTCCAAAGCAGAGGAGAAAGATGGCCTGGGACTGCAGTTTGTGAGCAATAAATGGATTTTAAACTTAAAAAAGAAATGATACAGGACACACTGAAGCAATTTGGAAAAAACCACAGCTGAAGAGTTGACAGGACTGGATTTAGATTAAGACAATGAATTATATGCAGCTCCCCTTTGTTAGGTATAAAACTTTACTCTGGTCCATCATAGGGAAACTGAGATCAAGACAATACTTACTTCTGGAGATCACTAGGAAAGTGCCTTGATGCATGCTGTTAGGTGTTCCTATCCTCAGAGGTGGAGTCTTGGGCATTACAGTTCTCAGGGCTACAAAGAGTAAGGCATGTCCTGCTTTCCACTTCAGAGTTTACTTGGAGAAATGTGGGTAAAATATAGTACATACTGATAAATGCTGTGATAAGAGTTTAATATGAAATGTTGTTAGAGGCAATGGAAACCCATTCAATTATAGATCACAGATAGGCCAGAAGCTCCTCTCTGACTTTGCAGTTATCAATAAGGAAACAATTACTTGTATAAAATGGTATTAACTCTCTATATTATTATATGGCAACACTAACAAGAGATGTTAAAATGTTCCTATCTGGGCAAAATGATTCAGAAATTCTAACTTTAATAATTCCTTTTATGGAAATAAGCAGATGCAGGAAAAGATCATGATATAAAAATGCTCATCTAAGAACTTTTTTATAGTACTTAAACAAATGAAATGTCCTAAAATTGGAAAATACTGAATAAATTATGGTGCATGATTATTTTATAGTTATTATGGTTTTAAAAAATGTTAACTGGGATTAGAAAATACTTAAAATGCTATAGAAAGGAAAGTTACTAAATTTTATATATAATATAATCAAATAATCAAAGGAGATCCCAGCAGTCCACGGAAGGGGGAAAATATTAATAAAATTCTGAATGAGCTAAAATGATGAAAATATCATTACTTTTGACTCTAGATGGAATGAATCCAGTGGTTTATTCCATTTCTGTGCCTTGCGTATTACCTCAACTACATCCTCAAAGACTTTCTGCCTTCTAAGCTCTTACTGAGGGAAAAAAAGTTGGTATAGGCCTGCTTATCTGCAACTGGGCAGATTTTCAGGCCCATATATATATATTTGTAGAGTGATTTGGGAAAATTGGAGCCAGAATGATTGTTTAAAAGTCCTGTAGTAGAAAAGTTAATCTTAAGTGTTTTGAAATTAACATTTTTTCCTTTGAAAACTGTTCCTTTTTTTCTTTTAGTTTTCAGTGGGAATCTACACGAGAAAATGAATTCTTGATAGACTATAATTACAGTTATATTCTTTCAGATGCTATGAAAAGTATAGGGATCTATATTCTGATGGAAAGAATGAATGACATATCTGAAGTGAATAACTGGCACATTTAGACAGGATCTCTTACACTTAGCACTACTGCCATCTTGGGCTGTTCAGTTTCCGTGGGGAGCTGTCCTGTGCACTTAGGACATTAGCAGTCTCTCTGGCGTTTGTCCATTATGCAGTAGCCTCTCCTCCCTGTGGGGACAATCAAACATGTTTGCAGACATAGTCAAGTTGCCCTGGGGTTGAGAACCATTGATATGGACAAATAGGGAAAATTTGTCAACTGAAAGACTATGGCTTTTTCGTATGTATGTGTTACATGTGCACACACACACGTGCATATACACATACATGACATGTTTTTCTTCTGGATTTGGGTGCTTTCAGGTTAAAAAAAATATATAGAAAAGTATGACCACCTATGCTGTGGAAATCTGACTTCTTAATGAATTATACTTACCATTTAATGTTTTTCTTCCTAATACTAGGAAGTCAGAACTAGGCTCTGAAAAGCACAACTCTATTTCATAAGGGCTGTTTTCCTGGCTAATTAAATCCAAGAGAAAAACATAAAGGGTGTAAACATTTTATTCCCAACAGATCTCTATGAATCTCAACAGAGCTTCACAATGCAAAGGATAATGAGAAATATTTCCTTAAATATTTCAACACATAATAAAAGGGAATTTCAGTGAAAATTCTAGCTTTCCATAATCACCACTGCAAGTCCCCTTCCCATGCCCCTAATTTATTCCCTGTCCTCTTGCTGAAAACAGAGGCGGGAAAACTTCAGAAGATGGAGGGTATTAAAAAAAAAACTCAGGTACTTGTCTAACCTCTTTTTCAGGCAACGAGCACTAGATGTAGGCACTGTAGTGAGAACAGAAAGGCATCAAGGGAGGCAAGCTGGGCGCTGTTTAGGAGCTTACACTTTAGTAGGCATGATACAACATTAACCCATAAGAGCAGCAAAATCAGCAAGAGCTAAGTGGTTTTAGGTAAAATTGGTGCGAGTTTGTAATCTCCAGCATGAGGGCCTGAGAAAAAGCAGTGCTTGAGCTGGGCCTTGAAAGGTAAAGCAGTATTAAAAACAGGTGGAACTGGGTAAATCTGTGTGTGGTGACAGATGGTAACTACACTTAGAGGTTAGCATTTTGTAATGTATGTAATTGTTTAATCACTGTTGTAGACCTGAAACCAGTGTAATATTGTATATTAACCAAACTTTAATGAAAAAAATCCCCACATGAGCTGGGGTAGGGGAGGAGGAAGGGTGTTTCGGGACAGGGTCTCATGACTAGTGGGAGGCCAGGGTGGCAAGCAGAGAGTCGTGAGCAGTTCTGATAGGCTGGTGTGAACTCCAGGCAGGGTGGAAGTTTTCTTCTAAAGACAGTGAGAGGCTGTGGACAAGCTGAAGCAGGGGAGGGACAGGACTACCCACTTCAGTAAGCTCTGCCCGGTGCTCCTGGGATCCTGGGGCAGAGGCAGTAAGCTAACACAACTCATCAACTATCCTTGTTTTACTTTTCAAATGTTGTTGGGTTTTGTTGTGCTAGGAGCAGGGCCTGAAATGAGGCCAGTTGACTAGGATAAAGGTCTGTGAGGTGCCTGGCTCCTGGGAGACATTCAGGAGATCCCATGCCAGTGCCCCCAATGCCAGCCTTCTTATACTAGAAAGACTTCTTGCCTGTGCTGGGAAGGGTATAAGGTGGCAGAGACAACCTACTCACCCCTTTTCCAAATAGTCAGTGGAGAGAAAGTCCAGAAAAAAAGTTTTTGAACAGGAAAGAATCAATGTCCAGGTCAGGTGGATCTTCAGTATATCTACCTGGGTATGTTTGTGGAGTTTCCGGCTCACAGAACCTTTGGCTCCAGTTCTGGGAATATAGAAGGAGTGCTATGTACGTATCAGGCTTTTAATTTCCATGGGGACCAATATGCCTTTTGGAGGAACAACTTCCTTTTGCCATAAGAGCCTACATTGGCACGAGATCATGCTCTTTTTACCTTCCCATTCCAACTTGGATTCTTCCATGGGGAGCCAAATTATATGACTACTCCACAGTTCTAGGTCAGACTTCCTAGTATCTGGGGGCCAATCACTGCCAAGATGAATACATAAGTCCCTATCACAGAATAGTATCAAATCCTGGACAGATCAGGATCAGGTTTGGCTGCATGTAATTTGGGAATTTAAAAATAATAGTGGCTTATACAACATGTCAAAGAAATGCACAGGAATGTTACCTTAGCTCATGGCTTCCATCTTCAAGGTGGTGCTAGAATTCCAGCCATCATGTTCATATTCCAAGAAGCAGAAAAGAGGAGGCCTCTTGAAAGAGCTTCCCTGGGAGATTACACTCAGTATCTCATTGGCCAAGCTGGCAATCACATGGCCAACAACTGTCTTTGAGACGGGCATGCTGCTGGTCCTCACAAAATTTAGGGCTCTGTAATTGAGCGAGGTGGGAGAACAGACACTGGCAGGAAGCAATAGCCTCTCTTGATTTGCCCTATGCCTGACCTGTGGGATGCTGGAATTTGCCTGATCTAAAAATACATCCTAATTTTCAGGTATCATACATATATTTGCCATTTCTATTCTTGATGAACATGGAGGGATAAACATGATAGTTTGGCAAGAGAGAGATTAGACTTCTTCAGGCTGTGTAACCTGAGGACAGGACAGGTGAATTCTCAGTGGTGAAATTGGTAAATTAGTTTCCAAGTGTGCCTTTGCTCAGGTACCCAGAGACTGTGGCTGTTCTCTACTTCATTATGTTCCATAAACAAAGACTTTACATGAACAGGAAAGAGGTGGCACAAATGTGACCTCCTCCTCTCATCCTCGCGGCAGTGACCTTTCCTGTTGAACTGGAACATGACCTCAGAATCTGTCTCAACATGGTGTTTTGGAAGTTACTCTGATCCCAAAGACTTGGCATTGGTATTTAAATCTACTGGTCACCTTTAATTGCTTGAGGGAGTTTTCACTATGACAGAATCTCTAGGTATAATTCTTTGTCATAGGAATAAACCTCTCATGTGGAACTCTGGGTGTATTCAGGTGATAAAGGTATGTAATTACAGGTAGCAGTCTTGGCATTTTTCCTACTTTACTACTGTGTGATCATAATCACATCACTGGGCTTGTTCAAAACCTGTTTTTTTTGGCTGTTTACCTTACTGAACCATGAGTTTCTCAAGGGTGAGGACTGTATCTTATTCAATTAATTAATAAATTAATGAGTCATCTGTATCAGTCAAGGTCAAGTGGTTATCAAAGTAAATACTTCCCCAACAGCTGGTAACACACATACACTGCTTAAGATCAAGTAATAAAGGGAAGCCATGCCTGGAGAGGTCACTGGAAAATACGAGGGTGACAGAAGAGCACAGGTGAGACCACACAGCAGGGCTTGCTTATTCCAGAGCTGCCCAAAAGACATTTGAGGAATGACACTGGAAATTGGCTACCAGCTAATAAGGAAAGGGTAAATAAGCTCTGAGCAGGTTTTTTTTTCTGACTCTACACATTTTCCTTCTTTTGATGACAGGTCCAGGTCCTTGGTTAACGTGGCTGTGTTATTCAAAGAGTTGTACAAATGTACAAATGTGATTCAAAGAAATGTACAAAGAGTCGTATTTCATGAATGTGAGTGTAGCTGAAGTAAGATTGTAATTATGCTCCCCCTGCTTTAATTAAGGGAATCTGCTCTCACGGATGTGCTTTTTATAAATAGATAATTATAAACAGATTATTTTGTAATCTTATAAATTACTTAATACTAATATCACTTATGTTTTAAATATTGTCCCATTGAAAGTTTTGTTGGAAAAAAAGCCTACTATGTTAAAAAATTTGAAGAGCACTAACTTAGCTAGTTGACCCATTCTTAAATAGTAATCATGGAGAAAGATTAAGGAAAATAAATCCCAAATGATTCTTTCTGCTCAAAGAGCAGGGCAGGTTATGAGTAGATCCAGGCTGATGCCTTCTAGGAAGGCTGACTGTTCTGGACCTTGGGTGGCAGCCCCCCACCCTCAGGAGCCCTGGGTGAGCTCCGCCCTAGGAGGGAGCACACCTGTATTTGGATTTCCAAGTGATAACAATGTCAGACATGCTGAGGCTAAATGCACAGTTATTTCTGCATAGCTTCTCCACAACTCTGTTGAGCATTTACATACTCTGGTTAGAAGGCCTGGGCACCACAGAAGTAACAAGGCTCTTCTCTCTTCAAGTTTAGAACTAGTCCTAAAGAGTTACTCCCAACAGGAGAGAAGCAACACTGGAGTCTGTTTTCTACTCAAAAGCTTTTGCAGATTTCCTCTCTCCTGATTCTTGGCGGCTTCCTGCTCCCCTCTTGTTCAGTGCTGCTGAAGGTGGGGAAAGGGGGTGTTTGTTGGGATGGATAGGGGACCTTATGGACTTGCAATCAGAACCAGGGTTCAAATTCCTAGTTAGACCATTTCTCAGTAGTCTGGCCTTAGCCAGATTTAATGATCAGAATTAAAGTGTCTTTCTTTGTAAAATGGACATAACAGCATGATTGAGCTTAGATGTAAAAAATACTTAGTAAAGTGCATGGCCTACAATAGGTGTTCAATAAATGACACCTTTTATTATCTTGGGATTGCATTGCTCCTGCATCCTTTCCTAAAGTGTCACTGCCTGTCTAGCGGGAGGCATCTCTGCCTGGAGGAGTTTAAGGAGTGGGTGGAATGAGTAAGTGAGTGAGAGAGAGAGAGAGAGAGAGAGAGAGAGAGAGAGAGTGTGTGTGTGTGTGTGTGTGTGGAATGGTTGGTTGGCACTCAGGCTTGGGCACTAATCTTCCCTCCCCATGCCTGTTGCCCCAAAATAATGCTTCTGACTAAGTCCAACAGGAGTATCCCTAAAGGGAATACAGAGGGAATATCAAAGATGAAGTGGGGAGACAGAGAAGTCTCTGAAGACTAGTGGTTGCTTAATCCTTTGGCAAGAGTCTGTCTGTGACTACCCTGATCCCCAGTCATGAAGACCAGGTAACACCGCCCAGTACCTGCCAGAACAGGTGGCCTGCAGACAGCCACGCTGTCACCTAGGTGCCATTCTGTCTCTCCTCTGAAGCCCTTCAAACCATGTCATTGATAGAAATATTATACATTTTATAATTAAATTTGTAAAAGCATTTAATGTGCCTGACTGGATATGCCATACACCTATTTCAGTAACTGGGTGCTTGTAGCACCCAAATTACAAAACAGCAAACAGAACAGACAATACAGTAACCCCTGTCTGAATTTCCAGCCATCTTACTCCACACACTGCAGCCCTGAAAATCTGAGCATACATGTTCCCTGACTTGCAGTTGCATCCCAATCAAACTTTCCTGGGAAGCAAGAGAGTCAGACCTGCTTTAAGAAAGAGCATTATTGTCTTGCTATATACCCACCTCTTCAGGGCTGCCATTCTCCAGAACTTCCCTTGTATGTTTTCTTTCTCATCTTGCCAGGATCAGCACTTTGCTGCCATTCATTTTACAAGGACATCTGCCACTTTTCCCAACAAATGGCATTAATGCAGTTCACAGCATGGAGATTTCCTGAGTAGGAACTCATAAATGTGTAGACATTACTGCAAGACTGAGGGGCACTACAGGTTTTAACAAAGGCTAGATGCCAAGAAATGGACAAAGTTAATGTTGATAAAGCCTCTGTCAAGACATCCGCACATTGCTGACGCAGATAAATGTCCCCATACCTGCGTCTGTCACTAACTAGCACTGAGAACTTGCGCAATCCATGCACTTTATCTTGCTGGACCTCAGCTTCCTCACGTACAAAGTTGGGAGAGGTGTACCACGTCTTTGACTGTTCAAAATCACTTTTTCCCTCCGGGTCTTCTCCTGACTTCTTTCGATTATCTGGAAAAGTGCGGGGGTTATTTCTGCCACGTTATACTCTCCCCAAGACAGGCCAGAAGTTGGGTCGGCCTGGGGCGGCGGAAAAGGACCGGAACCAGCCATTCACCGAGCGTCTCCCGGGAGCCAGGGCCTTCACGCGCCTTCATTTTCGTCCCGACCTCTCGGACCGAGGGCCGCGCACGATCAAACCCGGCGGCTCTTCAAAGTAGGCCAGGGAAGCGCGAGTTGGGTTACCCGTTTCGACCGCACTTCCACCTCCGAGGAACTCAAAATACTCGGCGGCTAATTCGACATTAAAATAGCCCAGGAACCCTTGAGATTTCTTCCGGGGCTGAAGACAATGTCACCATCGAGTCCTCAGGCGAGCCCAGAGAGAGCTCCCGAATCAAAGTCCCGCCTCCTTTCTAGAGCGTAAAAACAAAACATAAAAAGAAATAGAAAAAGACAGGTCCATCCCTTCCCACCCGGAGTGACGGGCGCAGCCTCGGCGCCCCGCGTCCCGTCCCAGCCTCCCGGGCCCCGGGGACCCCGCCAGACGCCACACGCAGCTCGCAGCCCCGGCGGGGCCCGGAGGCCGAGGACGCGGAGCCCCGGGCAGAAAGGGTCGCGGCGCGCCGCTCACAGCCCCGCGGCCGAGGCTCCAAAGCCCCAGAGCCGCCGGCCTCGCCCGGCCCTCCCTCCGCCGCCCGCCGTGCATCTGCTTCCAGGGCAGATGGGCGGGGCGGCGGAGCCTCCTCGCGGCCGCGCCTCTTCTCGCCGGTCCTCCCCGCAGCGCGCGACTCCGGGGCCGCGCCGCCCGCTACGCCGCGCGGACTCGCGTCCCTCTGCTTGAACCGGAACCTCTTGCCTAGGCTGCCGCTGCCGCCGAGGACTCGGGCGCCGGCCGGGAAGCGCGGCGCTGCTCGCCATGGCCGCGGCGGGGTGAGCCAGGCTCGGTGGCTCAGTCGCGCGGACGCGGGCGCTCCTCCGTCGCGGACGGACCCGCCGGGACCGGGGCGGGCGCGCGGGGAGGCCGAGGGGAAGCCGGGGACGCCGCCGCCCATGGCGAGGCCGCGCCGCCGCCGCCGCTGCTGACCCGGGGTCGGCCGCGGCTTCCGCCCCCTTTCGCGGCGGCCGGCGGGCGGGCCTCCCCTCCACGCCCCCGCCGCCCGCGCCCCGCGCCCGGGGACTCGCAGCAAGGCGAGCGCAGCAGGAGCCGGGGGGCCCCCGAAGATGGGGAACACTACCTCGTGCTGCGTGTCGTCCAGCCCGAAGCTGCGGAGGAATGCTCACTCCCGGCTGGAGTCCTACCGGCCCGACACGGACCTGAGCCGCGAGGACACGGGCTGCAACCTGCAGCACATCAGCGATCGGGAGAACATCGACGGTGAGCGCGGGCTGGCCGAGCTCCTGCCCGTATTCACGGGGCCCCGTCCGCACCCAGGCGTGCATCCGGCCGGGTCCGCCTTTGCGTTCTGAGCCGGCGCGTACCCCGGGCGCTTCGGGGCCCCCAGCCTCCGACCCCTGGGCGACTGGAGCGGGAGAACCGGGGCGGAGGGGGCGGGTCTCGAGGGGACAGAGCTGGCCCTCGTTCAGACGGGCCGCGCTGGCGCGGGGGCCGCCCTGTGTGAGCCTCGCCGTGAGCCAAGTTCTGCGCGAGAAGGGCGAGCTTGTTTGTCCTTTAAAAGGCGAAGGCAGGGGGTGATCCTTGGCAGAACTGAGAAATGGATTCCCATTTGGGAATCCCAGTCTCTACCTAGAGTTGGAGAACAGGGTTGGCCTGTAGCAGCACCGCGGAAACTTACAAATTGACCCCAGTTGGCTGCGCCCTACCTCCATTTCCGTTAACAACAACAAAAAAGGATTTTTTTGGGTGGTGGTGCTGGGGTACTAGAGTCAAATAATTCTACCTGAATGCTTTAAAAAAAATCTCATTAGGTTATTATCAGAATGCTTTGAAGTCGCCTTTGGGTTAAGTAACCCAGTTTTTACTTGGGGTTGAATTATAGTCCTGTGAATTTCTGATTGATCCGAGGGAGTAATTGTTAGTTTATCTTATTGGTCTTACACTATCATTACTAGTACTATCTTATCAATAAGCTTGGAGGTCCAAGATCATGCTTGAAATGCAGTTTACATAATTTTCAACTTTAAAAATTTTGAAATTGAAAATGTTTTTCCTCAATTTTTCATTTTTTACCCCCAAATCTTCTCACAGTTGATGGAGTTCAGCTAATCTGAAAAGAATTATCGTGTGAATGGATTGACACAAGCTCTGTCGTAATTCATTCTTGTCGGGTTTAGGATGGAACATTTTCTCTAGTGTGGAGAGCCAAGTTTAAACTCTACTAAAGGAAAGAATTCTCTCATTGTTTGCACTCCTTTAATTTCTTCTAAATAGTAATGTCATCTCTTTAGGATAGCAGCTCTATTAAATGGGTACCATATATAAAGAGACTAATAAAACATCTGGTTTACAGGAGGCGCTTAGTAAATCAGGGTTCCATATGACATTTCTAGCGTTGTTAGACTCCATTATCTTAACCTATTCTTTAGTTGTCTTTCAACCACAGCCATACTTTATTTTTAAATTTGTGCATTTAAAGGCTATAGGAGGATATTAAGGCCAGGTCTGTCTTGATGGTCCCAAGCACCTGAAAGAAGTGTTTAGCGTATAATGAAGACTTAATAAGTCTTTGATTTTAAAGGAATGAGTGAGTGAATAAGTTTATTATAGAAAGCCATTACTCAGTCCTATGCAATGTTGGCAGGCAAAAACATTAGAAATAATTTCTCCTTTATGTTGTGCACAATATCAGGTAGAGGCTTTATGCTTTAAATAATGGATTAAAAAACATACAAACAAGAGACACATTTCTTTGAGCCAGGCTACTTACTATTACTGACTAAAGTAAGGAAATAGGAAAAAAAAGGTAATTGTAACCAGCTATTTGGCATTGAGGCCGAGAAAGATTTTGCCAGAGAGAAATAGAATAATATAGTGTGTTCTTTCATGTGAAAGAAATCTAAGTTTTGGTCATAAATCATTTTTGTGAAAGCATTTGGAAGACCACCAACTCTTGTTTTGGTAGTTTAGGATAGTTTAAGAGACTATAGGGCAGGAGAATTTCAAATCTAGGCTGTAGTGTCCACTCAGCACAGAACTCAGGTGATGGTATGATGATGCTAGTTTAAATCCAGAAATACTAACTTACTATTTAAACAATGTTCAGTCTGTCTCCAAAATTCAATAAGTAATATTTCCAGGATTTCCCTATCTAGCAGTTCTTGACATCGCTTTTAGTTAGACCAGAGATCTAGGGCTGGGCCTTGGTATTAATATGTTTCAAGCTTTACAGGTAATTAATTCTAAGATGTAGCTAAGGTTAAGAATCACTGGCTGGGTAAGTCTTGAAGTGTCACCTGTGTTCAGGGGCATTTCTGGTAGAAATTCATACAGTAAGAGGCTGGGAGAAGAGAACAGATTTGTTTGAGTTAAATAGCATATAGTTAAATATACTAAATAGTATGTAGATACAGATATATATAATGTAACTTCTGAGTTACATTAATTGTTAGATGATTGGTAAATATTTGAAAACTCCTGAAGAATTCTTGATTCTGGTATGTAACAACAGCTGAAGCACTCTAGTACTACCTTTCTTAAATCCAGAAAGACATCTCAGACAACCAGAATTGAAAGGTTCAGAGAAGTTCATGGGGCTTCTGTGATAGGTTAGTTTCTTTAGATCACAGAAATATGAGGCATGTATTCACGTTATCCCTGACCCTACACACCATGAGTAATATTTGTCATGTAGGATTTCAGTGGCTGAGTTAGAGCTTCATGAGCCCAGCAGCTCCTTGCCCTGTTTGTGTACTCAGTGTACCTGAACAATAGGTCATCCATGCTTTTGAAGTTTACATTAGCCTCATCAGCTCCCTAGGTGTTATTCTGACACAATCATTCCCAGATTGAGAAATAACAAAAACACTTAACAGCAATGGTAGTAATAATCATAACCCTTCTGTATTGTTTACTGTGTGCTGTAAGTGCTTGACATCTGTTTAGTTATGTAGTGCCCACAGTAACCCTATGTCAGTGTTATCCTTGAAGACAATGAGGCAGAGAGAGAAGAGTGCCAGAGAGAAGTGTCACACAGTCAGCTGGTAGTGACACATGGAGATTTGCCATTGTTGCTTGGCCAGCCATCAGACGTGAGCTAGTCTGGGGTCGCCTTCTGAGGTGGGGTGTCTGTCATTGTTGTCAGAGCTACAGTTTCTCTAAGAAATGTCATCTGTCTGCAGCAGACTGGACTTTTCCTGATTGGATTATTTCTGTGGGAAGAGAAAAAGGAATGGACTAAAGGAAATTTAAAGTTAGGAGAGACCAAATAAATCAGGAAAGCTGTCACATCTGTCCCATGGTGTCAGTGTAGGGTTTTGCCTCAAAATGATTGGTAGCATTCTCATCCTCTATAGATCTGCTGTTGTTGAGAACCCATTTCTTTGTCATCCCATATCCAATCTGCTAGGAAAGGATGGTGCTCTATCTCCAAAATACATCCAGAACCTGTTCACTTGTGAAACCACTCCTGCTGCTCTTCTGAGCTAAGCAGCCTAACTGGGACTCCCTGCTTCCACCCTCACCCATTGCAGTCTGTTCTCAACATAGCAGCCAAAGCAAGATCCTTTCAAAAAAAGTCCTCTGCTCAAACCTGCAAACTCCTTATTTTACCTGGAGTAAAAGCCTCATAGTTGACTTTTACAATGGAGTCTCTACACTGGACTCCAAGGCCCTTCGCGATCTGCCATTCTTCCTTACCACCTGCTTTCTGGCCTGTTCCAGCCACAGTGGCCTCCTTTCATGCTGTTCCTTGAACATACCAGACATGCACCCACCCCGGAACCTTTGCTTGTCTCTCTGCTTGGAATGCTGCTCTTCCTTGTGTCTTGTTGGCTAACTCCCTCACCGCCTTCAGGGTTGGTTCTAGTCTCACCTCCTTAGGAGGCCTCCCCAGTTGCCCCATCTAACATCTCCCACCCGCAGCAATTCCAGCTTATGTTCTCTGCACTAGTGTCTCTTGTGTTTCATCTGTGTATCACCTATAATATGCTATACAAATGTACACACACATAATAATAACTTTCTACCTACTAGCATGTAAGTTTCAATAGAACATTTTTTGTTCACTGATGCAAACCAAGTGCCTAGAATAGTGCCTGTTACCTTGAGGACACTCTATAAATATTTGTTTGAATGAATGAGTGAAGCCAGACAGTTAAGGAATTTGGAGTCAGAGTGCCATCATGTGTATTTATTGTGTGAGAGGAAGCAGGAGAGAAGTAGAGAATGACCGACACTGTAATGATGAAAGTACAGTGGATGTGAAACCTTTTGATTTTGCTTGCATTTTAACCTGAGAGGCAGCAGGTAGGATGATGTCCTGAAAAATGAAACTCATGAAAGGGCTTTAATGCACAAGAGAAACACTTCCAAACAGAAAGGAAATTGAGGCTAATGGAAATTGTTTAACAATATGTTTAGTCTCTTCAGATGAATGACTTTGTTATGGCCTTACATCCTTAGGGATCAAAAGGAGGCTAAAATGCTTGATAAACCAAAAGTACTAGATGAACACATACAATTGTGAACATAACCACTCATGTTGATATTCTTGTATTAAATGTGAAATGTGTTCTTGGATACACAGTAAATGTCTGCATGTTTGAACTTCTCATAGCTATAGAAGCAAGAACCCTAAAAGGCTCGTCCTAGGTTTGGGAAGGACAGCTGGGAAAGAACCATCTCTGTGATGGGGGTGGGGAGACAGAGGAGCAGCTTAAAGTCTGGGCACCTGTTACACTAGCCCAAGTGACTGCTCTTGGTTTCTTTGGGTATCTCTAACCTATTCAAGCTCTGTCTTTGCTTTTTTTGAGTCTCAGCCCACCTTACCATTTCCAGCCTGATGGGTGAAACTGTATCTGTGGACTTTGATTCCAGAGTAAGATTTATTACCCATGCTGCCTGCTACCTTTATGAAGACACTCTGAGCGAGCAAGACTGACTGCATGCTGGCAGTGTGAAGAGGCATGGCTGAAGATGTGTGCAGAGAGCTGCCCTCTAAGGCCCTGACGAGGACCCCGTGACCTTTGCTCCACTTGCTTGTCTTACTTTCCCTTTGGAGTTTAGAATCCGGGGGTCATGGGCCCCTGCCCCTTCATTTTTACAATAGGGAAACTCTGTCTTGGGTGTGTAGTCTGCCCAGGTCGTGCATGGGGGTTAACTTTGGGCTGAATGCTGTGCTAATTACTTGACCTGTAATTACCTTTTTCAGTCTTAACGTTGTTCTTCCTATTTCATAGGAGAGGACATTGAGACTTAAAGTTAAGAATTTTGCTCAGGGTTTCATAGCCAATTAGTGGCAGAGCTGGGGTTCAATCTACCATCACTTGCTAGAATCTTCCCAGTGACAGCTTGTTAGGGAGAGATAAGTGTCTAGAATCTGACCCCTCTGGTGCCTGGACTACACATGCCTTGTTTTAAGAGATTCAGTCATTGCCTGTATGCTTCTGGCTAGCAATAATGATTAGGATTTTTACTTTCCCACCTGCTTTTTTGAGAGAGAGGAGAGTGAAGATAAATAATTC